ATATATACATACATATATATATATATATATATATATATATATATATATATATATATATATATATATATATATATATATATTTTTTTTTTTTTTTTTTTTTTTTTTTTTTTTTTTTTTTTTTCTTTTCTTTTCTTTTTCTTTTTCTTTTTTTTTCAACAGCCATTCATTCCACTGCAGGACATAGGCCTCTCTCAATTCAGTATTGAGAGGTTATATGGCGGTGTCACCCTTGCCTGATTGAATGCCCTTCCTAATCAACCGCGGTTCGGCGTGTTAACACTTGTGCCACGGCGGTGACTTCCCCTACGACACCTGCGTTTGACTTCTCAAGGCGATATGTCGTTTTCTCGGGCTTGAGCAAGCAGTCAGAGCGCAGGCATTTTTTACAACTGCCGCGACGGGGAATTGAACCCTGGACTATCGCGGCGGTCATATATATATATATATATATATATATATATATATATATATATATATATATATGTGTGTGTGTGTGTGTGTGTGTGTGTGTGTGCGTGTGTGTGTGTGTGTGTGTGTGTGTGTGTGTGTGTGTGTGTGTGTGTGTGAGTGTGTGTGTGTGTGTGTGTGTGTGTGTGTGTGTGTGTGTGTGTGTGTGTGTGTGTGTAGATAGATAGATAGATAGATAGAAAGTGAGAAAGAGAGAAAGAGAGTGAGAGAGAGAGAGAGAGAGAGAGAGAGAGACAGACAGACAGACAGACAGACAGACAGACAGAGAGAAAGAGGCAGAGACAGAGAGACAGAGATTAGATATAAATAGAGATATAGATAGATAGCCAATATCCGCATCCAATGATTTAAGCATTTTTTTCTCCCCCCTCCCCCCCAACAAAAGATGAAACGAAACGAAAAGCGAATTTCCTCTCGCGAAACTTAGCCCGCAGCATCACAATAATATCCCAAGAGAAAATGGCAATCAACAACATTTTTCTCTTCCGATATATCCAGCTCGGTGTTTGGTGCGACCAATGAACACTTTTTATTCCAATACTTGCGCGTTTTTTCCCGCTGGGGTTCGAAGGGGGTTGTAGAAGCGTGTGTAAAAGAAGGTATGTGGAGGAAACGTATTATCATAATAGAGGGGGGGGGGGGTACTGATAGGATACGGTATGTTGAGAGAGTTTGTTCTAGAAGAGGCAGAGAAATCGGCAGATTATAGGAGGCAATTTATTATCCTGTTATGTGGTATATCAAAAGACTTAAATAAGGGGAGCTATACTAGTATGATACGATTGATTGAAAGCGTATGTTAAAGAGAAAGAGAAGAAGAAGAGAAAAATAGGAAGGTTATATTGATACTATTGTTATATTCATATCTCACTCTTACCATAAACTACCGCAACGCGTGAGAGAGAGAGAAAATATGTAATAGGAATGGACGCGGGGAAGAATAAGAAAAAAAAAAAATCACTCAATATTGCATTGAATTCCTCTCAATATGATCAATACACGACGAAATAAATGCCCATTGTTTTTCGTCATTAAAGGCTCTTTTCAGCAGAATGCCGACTTCTCGTGCTCTGATTGTGATTCACCTTTTTATGTGACTTGATGTAGGGGCAGTGGATTAAATCGGGAAACCCTTTTCGAGTTAATTACTTCAATTGCAAGCTGTGATCATTTTTCTGACCGCACTGTGTAGGTGTTGCTGGTTTTCGAGAAATAGGTAGGAAGGTATTGTTAATTTGTTGCGTTAATATGGAATATTTTTGTGTACTTTTACAGACACACACACACACACACACACACCCACACACACACACACACACACACACACACACACACACACACACACACACACACACACACACACACACATACACACACACATATCCCCCCACACCCCAACTCCCCCACACACGCATATACACCAAACCCTCATAATTAGCAATTAGCGAGAAAAGGGTGAAGAAGTAAAAAGGTGAGAGAGAGAGAGGGAAAAAAAAACACGGCTGCTAATGAGGTTTTTGACGAAGCACGAAATCTAATAGTGACGCTGAAATAATGTTTCTCCAAAATTGATTGTTGAGGTTGTACCATCAATATCAGTATTTTTAAGTTCCCACAATGAATATGACTATAACGTAGGGCCCGCTGATGGTTGTTCAGGGAAATTTCACACAGACATACAGACATACAGTTAGTCTGTTTCCCATGTCTTTTCCGTACTTCTATTTCCCTTTCGGAATCAATGGATTAATTCAAGATTTAACTCTTCTTTTTATCGTCGTCCAATTAAGTTTATAGTACACAATTGTCGCTGTTTGGTCCTGAACAATAGATTTATTGGTTTTCATCTTTAGCTGCGTTTAGTTATCGAAATATTGTAAATACATAGACACAACAATGCAAAATTCGTTGTTTTTTCATGTAATAATACTTCTCATCATCAATATCTTTCTTACTTCCATCATCATCACCATCATCATCATCACTATCATCATCATCACTATCATCATCATCATCATCATCATCACCATAATAATAATAATGATGATAATGATGATTATAATAATAATAATAATAATGATAATAATAACAATAATAATAATAATAATAATAATAATAATAATAATAATAATAA